GGTGGCCCCCCCCCCCCCCCGCCCCCCAGGTGCAGGGTGGTAAGTGGTGATTGAGGTCAGTGGCACTCTCAGGTACCACAGCAATATTTCTTCATTTCTCTGAGAAATCGTTCTAATCTTAACATGAGGGTAATGATAACAATACCTCTCTCAGAGTGAGCGGGACAGTTAAGTTAATTAATGCGTATACAGTGCTTACCACACCATCTGATACGGGGTCAGTGCTCCGTAAATGTTAGCATCGTTTCTCAAGCCTTGTTTCCTGGGGAAAGGCCTTCTGGATGTCGCCATGGAGACCTGGGGGATGCCACCTTGGGGGAGGCAGGTTCACGTAGGTTTAAGTCTGACCTCGGTGTGCAAGGGTTGGTGGGAAGGGATGGCTTGGGCTCTTTTCAGGGTTTTGCAGCTCCTGATTGGGGCGCGAGGGTGGTCTCAAGAAGAAAGCGGGGACCTTGGCTTCCTAGTGGCTCTCTCTGGCGATGGACCCTGCCCGGGACGAGGGGCTGGGAGGGAGGGAGGCTCATGTGTGGCAGCAGGTTGGCAAGTGGGGCTCCAGTGGTGTGACGGGGACTCTGGCCACCTGAGGGGCCGCTCACACAGGTTGTCGGGAGGGGAGGGTCTGACGTTGGTGAGACAGGGAAGGCCACTGGGCACTGCCTGCCCTTCACTTCTCCACGGCGCTCAGCACACATCTGAGAGGATGTCACTCGCTTACGTTGACCCCATTCTCGTCTTCCCTGCAGCTGGGAACCATGGCCAAGATGGAGGTGAAGACGTCCCTGCTGGACAACATGATCGGGGTTGGCGACATGGTGCTCTTGGAGCCTCTCACGGAGGAGACCTTCATCAACAACCTCAAGAAGCGCTTCGACCACAACGAAATCTATGTGAGTCGGCCCGCCCGGCCCCGTGTGCGGTTTCGACTTTGTGTTTTGTGGCAGAGAGCTGGCTCTTCTTCCTCAAACTCTTCTCTCTCTTTTTTCTGTTTGTCAGAGTCCAGAGGTATTTGTTTATAGCCTCAGCCAGAGTTCTGTGTTTGCTCGATTGGCACACAAGTAGCACTGATTAGAGTCTGTTTACACGGGGTGGGTGCAGGGTGCGGACGGGGTGCTGGTGTTGTGTCAGACGTTGGGGGCATCTACAGCAAGCGGAGAATACCGAACTTCTGCCTTCTGAGGAATGGGTGCAGGAGGAGTTGGGAAATCCATAGGCATCTTCTTGGATGCCTTTATAGGACTAGCAGTCTATCCTTTGAGAAGCTACTCATTAGAATGCAGGGAGTGAACTGTCAAAAAAGATAGGAATCTTGTGGCCTGGCTGGTGTGGCTCCGTGGTTGATCATCGACCTATGAACCAGGAGGTCACGGTTCGATTCCCGGTCAGGACACATGCCCGGGTCTTGGGCTCGGTCTCCAGTGCGGGGCATGCAGGAGGCAGCTGATCGATGTTTTCTGTCATCAGATTACCTTAACCAGGGGTCCTCAAACTACGGCCCATGGGCCACATGCAAATACAAATATTGTATTTGTTCCCGTTTTGTTTTTTTACTTCAAAATAAGATATGTGCAGTGTGCATAGGAATTTGTTCATAGTTTTTTTTAAAACTATAGTCCGGCCCTCCAACGGTCTGAGGGACAGTGAACTGGCCCCCTGTTTAAAAAGTTTGAGGACCCCTGACTTTAACTATCAAGTTCCTTAAATATATTTAAAATATGAGTAAAAAAAGACACTTACATGCAGTTTTTCAGGAGTGTGTGTACAGCACGGAAATTTGCATCCATTCAGGTCAAGGTGCAGTGTTAGCGAAACCAAGGAAGGGGTGTGGCTCCCTGTCCCAGCGGCTGAGGAGGAAGCAGGATGGATCGGATGGGAGTGTGTAGTTTTAACAGACTCGGCCGCGCTTCTGAGTTCTTTCCCTTTTTACAGTGCATCTGTGTCGAGAAATGAATGGGATTATTGGGACATGCTGAATATTTTTCTATTAATATGGGAACAGACAGTAGAAGGAAATACCTATACTAATAAAAGCCTGCAGGGGAGAGCAGTTAGGGGCGATCAGGCCAGCAGGCAGAGGCGGTTAGGGGCGATCAGGCCGGCAGGGGAGAGCAGTTAGGGGTGATCAGGCAGGCAGGCAGGCAGGCAGGTGAGCAGTTAGGAGCCAGCGGTCCCGGATTGCAAGAAGGATGTCCGACTGCCGGTTTAGGCCCAATCCCGACAATCAGACATCCCCCGAGGGGTCTTGGATTGGAGAGGGTGCAGGCCGGGCTGAGGGGACACCCCCCCCCCCCCCCCCCCACAACAGCTCGTAAGTAAATAAAAGGAGAGAGAGGTCATAACGGATACAAGTAGGATGGGTTATGACCTTTTGGAACTGATATATTTTTTTAAATTATATATGCAAAGGCATGTGATTTTATGTCGCACAGAGCTTTCCTTTCCAGGTAGCCCATCCTGTTTCAAGGATAACTTTGGATCGTTTCTTAATGAAATGATCGTCATTCTCTGGGAATTGAGCTTTTCATCATTGTGGGTTTATATGGTTGGGGCAGGGGGAGGTGGACAGTAACATGAGATGTGTGGAGACTGCTTTGGGGGCATTAATTTGATCATTGGGTCGGACCTCCGTTCAGAGCCTTTATGTGTAAAGTGCGGATTCGAATGGAAGAGGCATAAAACACTGCTGCCCCGCGGGAAGAGGTATTGTCTGGTTTGGCAGTGAGGCCCGGTGTCACCTTCCCTGGAGGTATAGCAGTTCGGCTGGCTGCGGGTGGGAAAACCTCGGGTTCTGCAGCGTTAATTGAAAGTACGGTCTGATAGCACACAAAAGGCAGGCTTGAAGCCTTGGTCTCGGCGATGGAGATAGCAGGACTCAATGCGACCGTAGCTATGGGGCCGATCGCTTTTCCTTTTGGCCCAAGAAGCCCCGTGCACTTTAGGATGAACTGAAAATGGGGTGGAGGGTAGAACGTTACACGCATTCAGGTACCCGGTTTGTTGTGGCCACTAACAATGAAACAGTCCCCTTTCTAACAAAATGCCAAGTGCTCACGTGAGTCTTTCGCAGACGAAATGTCTGGGTTCAGCCCTGCGTAATTTTATTTTCTAACTATTTTAGGAACGCCCTTTCTGGTGTAAAAAGCAGAAAATTGCTTCCTGCTTTCGGATACTCATTTCAGCGCATCTTTCCAGGATACTTTAGGGCCATCGCTTCCTTGAGATGTGTGGCTTCATCTTGTAACTGTGACACCCATCCTATTGGAGGGTTGGGCATTCTCTGTTCATTTTAAGCCAAAAAATATTTCTGGTTACAGAGTCGTGTCCGTAGTATGATCCTGCTTTTTGTCATTGCGGGGTTTATGGGCGTGTGCACGTGTTGGTATATCTGTGTGCTATGAGGATGCTGACTTTGGGTGCCAGAGTGGGATGGCATGGGATGGGATGTGGGGACAGGGAAAGGTTACTCTTTGAGACTTCTGTGCTATGGGGCTGGTGACGTCGAGCATGTATTGTTTTTGTAAATAAAGAAAGACTGTCCAGTAGATTTGAGGATCGGCCCTCTGCAGCCTCACAGGTCATGCAGAGCAGCCTCGGGAACCTGTTTCTGGCTCTTGCCTTCGTTCATGGCGGCTGTAAAATTGCTTATCCTGACGCCAAAGGCCAAGTTAACACGACCCGCAGTATTTTATTGTCTGACACTTCACTTAAAAAAAAAAATCCCCTTTGTAGTCTCATGGCTTTGTTTTATTCTCTAGAAATGGGTGCAGACACACTGCACAGTCCTGGTTTCAGAGCCGTGGTTGATGGGGGCCCAGTGAGCAGAGGGCCCTGTGCCCAGACGGCTCAACCACTGAGCCACACTGGCTGGGCTAGGCTAGTTTGCTTTCTCTCTGAATTGTCAGGTTGGGGATCATCTAGGTAAAGAAGTCTGAATTCGTCTAAAATTTTAGGATCTTAATTTAATTGTAGTTGTAAGAGGACTGCTTTGAAAATCCAGTGAAAATTATCTTAATTTTTAGGAGTTAGTGGTGAGTTAGGATTCCCATAGAGTTGGCCTAGCACAGCCGTGGGCAAACTACGGCCCACGGGCCAGATCCGGCCCGTTTGAAATGAATAAAACTAAAAAAAAAAAGACCGTACCCTTTTATGTAATGATGTTTACTTTGAATTTATATTAGTTCACACAAACACTCCATCCATGCTTTTGTTCCGGCCCTCCGGTCCAGTTTAAGAACCCATTGTGGCCCTCGAGTCAAAAAGTTTGCCCACCCCTGCCCTAGCAGGTCCTTTTGTGAGAGATCCTCAGGTGCGTGCTCCGGGAATGCTCACTGTTTTCGCGCAGAGGTGGGCTCACGCACTTGTTGAAAAAGCCTTGAGTTGGTCCAGGCAGAGTCTCTAAATGGTCTTTGCAGTTGCAGATGGAGGAGATCAGGTGAGAATCACAGAGGGATGTTGGCCTGGGGGGAGACCCGCGGGGTCAGAACCCTTGGCTTAGGGGGCCGCCCGCAGTCCAGTGGCCTCGGTGGGAAATGCTGGCTGTGACATCCCGAGCCCGGCTGCTTTCTGCCTCCTCTCTGTCCTGTGTCACACGTTCTTCCGCCC